GCCGCGCGGGGAACCCGGCCCGGCCCCTCCACCCGGCATCGGCCGCCCGCGCCCACCTGGCGGCAGAGGATGGTCTGCTGCACCAGCCGCGCGTAGCCGTCCAGGCGCACGCCCGAGTTGCTTCGGCTCCTCATGGCGACGGCTCCGCACCCGCCTCGGCAGCGGCGTCAACCCGGCAGCAGGAGCTGGAGGGGAGGGGCGGGGCGGTGCCACTCGGTGGAAGCCCCGCCCCGCCGGGTGACACGAGGACACAGCAACGCAGGACCCCGCCCCTCTCCGGCCCCGCGCGCTCCCATTGCCTATGGGGGCGGGGGCGGGGGCGGGGGCGGCGTAGCTGCCAGCAGTTCCCGGCGGACCAAGCCTGGCGGAAGAAGCCTGCGGCCGCTCTGCGCCCTCGCCCGAGAGCGGCGCCTGCGCAGAGGGGGCGGCGCTGCTGGTGCCGGCTCTGCTGCTGCTGCGAGATGCCCGTCTCATCTGCTACCGCAGCCGTCGCCTGGCTGTCCGCCGCCCCGGCCCTGCGGCTCCCTCCTGCCAGGAGCTGAATAACTGGCCTTGTAGTGGAGCTTTTCGTTTCATTTCACCTGGAGAAAAATGTGTCGTACCCTGCGTGAGTCGGCCCCGCGCCGCCTGCACCCCTCGGAGCCAGCCCGCCGTGCTCTGCGCTTTCTCCAGGGATCCAGTCATTTCTTGTGGCTCTTCCCCAAAGTCTCTCCGCTGTTTCGCCTCTTTTTTAAAATGCGGCTCCGCTCAGTCTCACTCCGCTGCCTGCAGGCGTCCGGCAGGCCTGGGGAGCGGAGGTGGCTCTTATGCGGCGGATTCTGGCTCCCTGGGATCCATCACCTCCGGCAGCACCCCGGACACGCGGCCTGCGCAGCGCCCTCGTTCCACCTCCTCCGAGGTGTGGCGGGACGGCTGTGCCCTGGGTGTCTTCGGGCACGGGGCAGCGCCAGCACCAGTGACGCCACTACCTGCCGCACCAGATGTTTTTGCACCTCTGTCCCTTTAGGCAGTAACTGGGCTGGTCACCCCCCCCCCTTACACTGCCATACCTGCATACAAGCCAGGAAGATCCCCTTTGCCAGCAGCTGTTTCCATCTGCTTTCAAGTCACTTTCTTCTGCCTGAATTGCTTAAAAGATTAGTTTATATCAGTGCCATTGTTTGATGCACTGTAATTCAGTCCATTTAGAGTGATTCCCTCCCTACCTCCTATGGACACATTTTGAGATCATCAGGAAGAAGGGGCTAGAACGAATCCAGCTGGGACTGTGATTACTGTCCTGGTAAAGCCCACAGCTCTTGGAGGGACTACAGCTGGGTTCCAGGCTCCAAACAGCTGGAAGTCGTGAAATAGGCCAGGGTAGCTAAAAGCTCCAAGGATGACTCAGGCACTCTGAACTCAAAGGGAGGCAAAACAAAGCCTAATGTGTACAAACACCCACACACCCAGCCTGCTAGGTCCTGAACACATCCTCTTGGCAAGCCTGTTTCTGTTTGAAACAGCAGCTAGGGTGATCCAGGCTGGGTTGGCAACACCCAAGAATCTTTGTCTCTGCTGCCAGAAGAGAGTCCCTTTGCCTGCTTGCTCTGGGCTATGGCTTTGAGTCTGTACAGGGAATGCTGAGAAACTTAAAGGAATCAGAAGAGAGCCCCAGGATGCTGGAAAATCCGCCTTGCAGTGAGAAACTGCAGGAACCCAATGAATTTTAATTAACTGAGCAGAAATTCCAGGGTCACTTGATCATTCATAGATTGTAAGGGGCTGGAAGGGACCTTGGAAGATCATCAGGTCCAGCCCCTGCACCAGACAGGAAAGACAGGTGGAGTCAAGTTACCCCAGCAAGGTGACTGTCCAGTCTGCTCTTGAAGATTTCCAGGGTAGGTGATTGCACCATCTCTGGAGGGAGCTTATTCCACAGTCTGGACACCCTGGCTATAAAGAAGTTTTTCCTAATGTCGAGCCTGAAACAGTCTTCAAGGAGTTTGGGGCCATTATTCCTGCTTTTCCCCAAGGATGCCCTGGTGAACAGCTGTTTACCAAGCCCTTGATGTATGCCCCTGATGTAGTGGTAAGCTGCTACCAAGTCCCCTCTCAGCCTTCTCTTTTCCAGCCTGGAGTCCCAGGTCCCTCAGCTTTTCCTTGTATGGCTTGCCATGCAAGTCTCTGATCATACAGGTGGCCCTTCTCTGGACTCTCACAAGACATCCTTGTTGAAGTGTGGTGCCCAGAACTGGACGCAGTACTCCAGCTGTAGTCTCACCAATGCCGAGTAGAGTGGAAGAATCACTTCCTTCGTTTTGCTGGAGATGTATCGGTTGATGCATGCCAGAGTATTATTTGCCCTGCTGGCTACAGCACATGTTCATACTGTAGTCTATTATTATCCCCAGGTCCCTTTCATTCGTGGTGCTGGTCAGTTCGGCGCCACCAAGCCTGTAGGTGTGTTGGGGGTTGTTCATCCCCAGATGGAGCACTTTACATTTCTCAGTGTTGAACTTCATCTGGTTCCAACTCACCCAACTTGTCAGCCTGTCCAGATCTGGCTGTATCTGAAGCCTATCTTTAAGCGTGACCACGCTTCCCCATAACTTTGGTGTCATCCACAAATTTGGTCAGTGAGCTCTTCACCCCCACATCCAAATCACTGATAAAGATGTTGAAAAGTACTGGGCCAAGCACCAACCCCCAAGGGACACTGCTGCCCACTTGTCGCCAAGATGACACAGATCCATTCATTAGGACTCTCTGGGTCCTACCGTGTAGCCAGCTTCATACCCACCTGACTGTCTCGCAGTTAGGCCCACAATCCTGCAATTTTCTTGCAAGAACCTTGTGGGATACCAGATCAAAGGCTTTTTGGAAGTCAAAGTATACAACGTCCACCTCCTCTCTCTTATCCAGGTGGCAAGTTACCTGGTTGTAAAAGGAGATGAGGTTGATAAGACCTGCCTGCGATGAAGCCATGCTGGCTGTCGTTCAGAATCCTACCTTCTGCAAGCCTACTGCACATAGACTCCTTAATGAATTTTTCCAGGATTTTCCCTGGCATAGAAGTTAAGCTAATTGGCCTATAGTTACACAAGTCCTCCCTCTTTGTTTCTTGAAGATGGGCACAGCATTGGCCCTCTTCCAGTCCTGAGGGACCTCTCCAGAGCACCACAAGTTTTGGAAAAGTTTTGCCAGGGGCTCCGCGATGACTTCAGCCAGCTCCTTCAGCACTCTCAGATGGAGTTCATCCGGTCCTGCTGACTTACATATGTCTTACTTCTTTAACTGATCACATACAAGTTCTATAGCAACAGTAGAAAGGCAGTCATTCCTGTCCTGCTCCTTCTGTACCTTATCTGGCATGATTTTTCCCTTGGCCTAGTGAAATACTGAAGCAAAGTAGTCATTCAGGAGATCAGTTTTCGCCTGAGTGCCGGTAACCAGCTGTCCCGAGTCGTTGAGCAGTGACCCCACACTTCCATTTGTTTTCCTCTTATTCCCTACATACCTAAAGGACTTCTTGTTGTCCTTGATTCCCATTGCTAATCTAAGTTCAGTTGCTGCCTTAACCTTTTTAATTTGTTCCCTACAAGGGTGGCCATTATTGTATAGTCCTCCTTGGAGCCTGTCCCCAGCTTCCATTGTTTGTACACCTCTTTCTTAGGAGGACTGTGATCTCTTTGTTTAGCCAAGAGGGCTTTCCAGCCCTTCTGGTACCTTTCCTCCACATGGGAATGGACTTCCTTTGTGCTTTCAGCATTGTGTCCTTAAGGAACGACCACTCTTCATGCACTCCTTTTGCCTTCAGTCCCTGGTCCTGCAGTGCTACTCCCACTAGTGACCCGAGCTTATTGAAAAGTGCATTTTTGAAGTCCAAGACTTCAAGCCTGCTATTGGATTTGTCTGCTTTGCGATGGACAGTGAATGTGATGGTTTCATGGTCACTGTTGCCCAGGCTACGCTCTATATTTAAGTCGGTCACCAGGTCATCTCCCTTGGCCAGGGCCAAGTCTAGGAGAGTGTTACCTCTGGTTGGCTCGTGCACCTCCTGAGCCAGGAAGAGCTGTTCTTCAATGCAGGTCAGGAAGGAACGTGACCGGTCCAACTTGGCTGACCATTTTTCCCAAGAAATGTCCAGATAATTGAAGTCACCATGACGACCATGTCCCATGTACGTGCAGGCTTTGCCAGTTCTTGGGCAAACTCTAGATCAAGTTCCTACCCCTGGTTTGGTGGCCTGTAGTATACACCTACAGTTAGGTCTTTCTCTCTGCTCCCTGTTTCCCCACCCCCCTGCCCTTTGCAGCTTGACCCCTGAGAGTTTCAAGCTGTTTTGCTTTGGAGCCAATGTTGGCCTCCAAGGAGGTGTACTGTTTCTTCACATAGAGAGCTACACCTCCACCTTTCTTCCCTACCTGGTCCCTTCTGTGCAGGGGTAGCTCTCTATGGCTATGCTCCAATCATATGAGGAGTCCCACCAGGTCTCCATAATCCCTACTAAGTCATAATGCCCACCAGAGAGCAGGAGGGCTAGTTCTTCTCCTACTCATTGCACATGCTTCTGGCATTAGTGCACAGGCACCTGAGTCCTACTGAGACCCTCAGCTTCCTGTCATGCTGAAGGGGATATATTCCCTCAGCTCCCACATGAGTGTCTCTCCTAGTGTCCCTATCTATGGAGCTTTCATGTGTGTCAGTCCCTGGGCAAGCTCCAGTCAGTGTTTCTCTGTCCCCCAGCAATCTTAGTTTAAAGCCCAATCTAGAAGATTGGCCAACCTGGCCAAGAATAGGGACTTACCTGTTCATGGCATGTAAGTGCCTAGTTGGTGGGACAGCTAAGAGAGGAGCTTTCTGATAGCAAAAGGCCTGTTAATGTCACAAAGGCAGAATCTGGAGGCTGAAGCTTGACAAATTCAGGCCAGAAGTAAGGTGCGGGGAAGAGAATTTACCACTTTACCCTAAAACATGGGGGATTCCCATCCCCCATGTCCTTTTCCTAAGGGTGAAATCACACATTACATTTAGACCATACTAAATATGTGGAATGTTTTTAAGCAGTGTCAAAGTTAAAACATGCTTTGAACCAGGGGTGGGCAAAATACGGCCCACAGGCCAGATCCAGCCTGCAAGGCCATTCTATCTGGCCCACAGGGCCCCTAAAAAATTTAGAAAATTAATATTTATCTGCCCTT